TCTCTCTCTCTCTTTCTCTTTTGGCGAGTTTTGAATGATTTTGAGTTTTGGGCTGTTGGTTGGACTCAGGCGGCAGAGGCATCGTCTTCATCAACGAATGATTCACCCGCGGTGGATGAAGTGGTAAGTGAGGCTGTGGCGAAGGAATCCGCGAGGGATGAGGTTCGATCCGTTGATCTGGCCAACGGCGATGGTGCGAAGCAGTCGGATGTGGAGAAATCGCCAGAGGCGACGGTGGAAGGTGTGCCTTCGATTTTTCCGATAAGCATATTTGTGATCTTTTGATTTGCACGTGCTATGACTCGAGTAAATTTTAAATTTTATTGATCATTTTCGAACTTTTTTTTTAGTAGATGTAGGTGCTTCTGTAACTGACACGGAGAAAGCAAAATTGAATGGGCCAGCAGGGAATCGAGGAAAAAAGGGGCAACTGAAATCACATGCTGGGGATGCATGGGGGAAACTTCTTTCTCAGTCCTCACAGGTAGATTGATACATTTCACTCAGTTTCATCATTTACATTGATAAAACTGTGTTTTNAATAGGCTAAAATTCTTGGATTAACATTCATAACCATATAAAATTGTAGGTCAACTTGTGATTGGATTTTGAGTATAACAGGCTTAATTTCCTGGACGATTAGATAGGTTTATTTCTTATTCAATTTCATTTTCTTTTCCTTTGTTATATCTTTTCAGCGTGAATGATATTGGAATTTGAATAGAGCATTAATGAAGAAATGAAGACACGAAATGGTTTAGTGTTGAATGTGGCTAAATCTTGTATGAATGCTCTTTGTTCCATGAGAGAGAATAATTTAGTTGCTATCAGAGTGGACATTATTTAACCATCTATTAAAGCATTTTGAATGCTTTGAGTTCAAACTTCAAAGGAAAAGGAAACCTGGAGATAAAGAATAAAAATCACAGATGTAACTAGATGGGTAAAAGAAAATGGAGAGTGGAGTTTCAAGTTGCAGATCTTGTCACTTGCTGTTGTAAAATTGCTACTTCACCTCATAGGTGGTTATTGCACATCAACTTATGGATCTTGTTCTATTTTCTATCTCCAAATTTTATTTTTAGTTTTAAAGGTTGGGACATGTTTGAAATAGTCTTAGACTCTAAGAAACAATAAAAAAACATTGCAGACTATCAAAAAGCAAGCCCCCAAAGCTAAGTCTCTAAAGAACTGAACCCCAGAATTGCCAAAGACTGAGAATTGCATGCCTATGGCTTCTGAGGCGTGCATCTCAAGAAGTCAAGGCTTGCAATCTGACAATTAAATGTAATTTTGAGACTTAATAAAGGTGTTGCATGAAGCCAACTCAAGGTGTAACTATTGGTCTCTCTAGAAAACAATGAGAAGATCAATGGCTCATATTGGAGAAAAGGATGGTTACATATCCCTTTGGTTAAGCAAAATGGTTCTACTGGAAAACATTTTTGTTTTTCATGGAAATTACGTCTTCCTTAGCCAATCCCTCTTTCTTTATTAAATTAAATAGCAATAGGCTGTTCTTAGTCCTTTTACTATTCTTTCACTGGATTCCCCACTCTAAGGGAAGTGAGCCAAGGAAAGGCAGTGAAGATTCGATTCTGTGTTTGGGTGGGTGAAAGCCAATGGTTTGTGCCTATGAAATGATAGTGATCGGTGGTGGTGATGAGAAGACATGTGGTGATGAGAAGACATGAAGTAAGTTGCTTTGTACTATGATGGAGGTACTGGTCACCTCATCTAGGCAGGCATGAAGCCATGAGTGCACAATGCTGGTGGGTGCCAGTTGTGGTTGTGGCCAATGTAAAATGATGGTGCATTTGGCAAATGATTGTCTATTTAAAAAATTCCGGAAGGTATTCATTCTTGAGTTGTTTAAAAACATTTTCCTCCTATATGTGCAATCATGGTTACAATGAAGCAAAAGGATTTTGGTAAAAATTAATTTCAACCAGTTATCAAAAATTAATTTGTAGGGGAGAACATCTTTTACACCGGTAGATGATAAGTAGTCTAACCTATGTGTCATCAAGAAAGGTTATAGTTGTGAATTGGCGTTGACTCTTTCGACGAACTCGGTATTAGTGTTGACTCTTTCTTAGCTCGATTATTACCATCGTCCGCCATTTCACTCTCAAATGTCTCTTGCGAGAGATTCAGATTCTTGGAAGATTATCGCAGAAAAAATCGTTGAATGCTAAAAAGTACAAGATTCGGAATTTCGGATTATTTACATAAACTCAAAACTCTGTAAAAA